ATATATATATATGTGTGTGTATATATATATATATATATATATATATATATAACAAATATGTATATATGTAAGGCCAATTATATTAGTTTATGTAAACTGGGTCCTTGTATATAGATATTTTCCTTGGCCTTGTTAAATGAATGGATTTTTTTTTCTTTCTTGGAAGATTAAGTTTTAAAAGAATTGTTTTAAGTTGATACTGACAAATCCATCATTTTGTTGTGTCTTTATTATTATGCAAGTATTTGAGTGTGTGTCTAGTGTTACCCTATTCTCTTATTCTAAATGCAGTGTTAATGCTGGTTTCTTTTCTTTTTATTTTGCCCTGCAGGTTATTAGTATAGTGTACCGTAAATGTATTTGGAATGGCCGTTTTTACAATGTTGTAGAGGTGTTGCAAGCGGTCACTCATGATGGAAGCTATCAATGACATAATGTACACAAAAAATCTTTATTTTATTACCATATGTACTTGTTCGACTTAATGTTTTCATGTGCAGCCGTAAAATCTGAAGCGGACTGATCTGAGCATTGGAAAACCTGCAGTTTTTTTTTTGCTTCAGCTTACTTATTTGACTAATCATTGCTAATATCAGCTCATAACATCTGTTAATTGATTGCAATTTTATGCTTCTAATAGTAACAATCATTGTCTGCCCAGTAAATGCGATTTGAATATTTGCAGCCCTTATTTATTTATACATTTTAAGTTGTAGGGAATTGGTCTGTTATTTTTATTGTTATTATTTCCCTTGTATTGTGTTCTGGCTTATTACATCACTGGAGAAATTTGTTTGTTTGTTTGTTTGTTTGTTTTCTTGCTTATATATTTGTATATTTGTATGTTGCAAAGTGCCTTCCCAGTACTGATTGTGAACAGCGATGGGTAGGAAAAATCTGTCATTTAAAGGACCTATCTTATAAAAACCATATACAAACAGAGTTGCATTGACATGTTTGTATAAAGACATGCACATATAAAGGTGTACATTTGTATGTTTGGTATTCTACTTTTTTTGTTTTCTGACAAAATGTTGTTTCTCTGCAATTTATGTCACAACGTTGATCAATTTTTGGACATTTGGATATAAGCATACTTTTCTATTGATGTTTGTTTTTGTACACTGTTTTTTGTGTATCTGCCTATTTGGCACAGGGGATGGGTATAAAATAAAGTTGTATTTGAGAATTTTCTTGTGATGAGCACTTCAGAACACATTGTACATTTTATTTCTGGTTATTTTGCGGTAAAAAATGTGACTTTGGCAATCTTCTGTGAAAACAATAGTGTAGGTTTTCATTATTTTATACTTGACTGGTGAAACTGATCCAATCATAACATGTACATTATATATGTATAAGATTATTAAGTGAGGATGATTTGGTAGGAAGGCCAAAATATAGCAGAAAACCAAAATTATGCTTTTCATTAGTGCTAATATTGTGCATACCTTCACATGCATGCATGAATCTTTGCATAGACATGAGTGCTGCCATGATGAGTATTCTAAAGCCAATCTGTTTCCTGCTCCTTGTCTGACTGATAGTCAGTCAACATTATAAAGAAACTCAAGTAAAAATGACTAGAGGCACAAAATATTTTCAAAAGATTCCAAACGAGGTAATCCATTCTTCTGATTAACTTTTGAAATAATACATTTATAAAGCACAGATTCAAGGTTTAAGGCATCAGTGACTGTGGCGGTTTTTGCTTCATTAATGAACCACATCTATTTATGCATATTTTTTTCAATGAACATTTCCAGCCTCATACGTCTCTGAAATAAACTAACCACACACCATATTCTCATTTTATTTAAGTGCAATATTGCATAATGCGGTACAGCACTCCTTATTTTGTGTTTCCATCTGTATTAAATAGTCGGGCAGCAGAAAAGTAGGAAATGCAGAGTCACACTTACTGAGATTTGAAATGTTGGAAATTTAACTTGAAAGAACAGCAGTGTGGACCAGGGTTGAAGTGCTATGGATGAATAAATAAACCATTTAAATTAATCCTTAATTTTTTTTTATAAAAACAGAAATGTATTTAAACCAAGCAGTTTACTTAATTCAGTTGGATATAATCCTAAAAAAAAAAATGGCCTTTTAACACAATTATAACTTCTCTCAACCCTTGGCCCCGCAATACAACTTGGCGGAGGTTCACCAGAGGACTAAGGTAAATGATATGGGTACTTACAGTCAGTGTGAGGCCTTACTAGTTGTTAACCCAAAACAAGGCCTTACTAGTTGTCAACCCAAAACAATAATCAACTTTGGTTAGACCCAGTGTAACCAGTGCTTATGGAATTTAAAAAATATATATATATACAGTATATATATATATTACAATATACAATAATGTGCGTTTCTGTTTTATTAAAAAAAAAAAGTTTTTAGACTGTCACAACTTACCTTAACATGACAGATAAAATAGGCCGCCATATTAAACTAAAGCGTTTGAATACGCAAAGGCTAATGGAATTAAAGGGTTTTCTAAAATAAAAAATAAAGCAGTCTATTATGCTACTGGTTACGTTTTAAAAAAGAAACCATGCTGAGAATCACACAACCTGAAGCTCCTTTCAAAAACATGGAAAAATATGGAAGTGTGTTAGACACGTACACAGTTGGATTCAAACGTGCACACACAAAAGCAATCACATCATAGAGGAAACTGTGTTATTGTGTACTGCATATTGTACATTGCACTTCTGTTGAAGTGTTACAATTATTTACATGTTTGCACTTCTGTTGAAGTGTTTTAATACTTTAAATGTATGTACTTCTGTTGAAGTGTTTAACTTCCTTAAATTTGCAGTTCTGGTGTTTTAATTATTTATGATAATTACAATGATGAAAATATAGTATAAATGAATTCACTATCAGTGGCACAATCCACTAGTATGCATTCATAATTGGTATAAAGCAATAATTTTATATTTTAAATTTTCTATTAAAAAAAATGGTATGTCCCATCATAAGCAAACGTATTACCTAAGCACAAACTTGCTGAAAATGTATCACATTTTACCTGAAAAAAGGCATGTAGAATAAAAATGGATACTTTAAGAAACCATTTGTTTAAAACATTAACAGTGTATGTAGAATATATTTATTCGTATTTAACAGTTTACCAAAAAGTGTTCCACTTTTGCTCACTTCACCCTAATTTTAATAGCTAACCCACATAATAACCAAAAACCAAGTATTAGTGTATTAGTATTTTTAAACAAAATTAACAACATCAGTATTAATTGTGATGTATGAGGATAACACGTGAAGGTCTGTAGCTTTTTAACAGCCCAGTCCAGTACAAAACTACATTAAATGAGTCAGCTTGGTAACTGGCAACCTAAAACAGTATGTCCCTTTAAAGTTGGCAGAACTTTAGGTATGTTTGCCCATTTGTGCAGATAATCTTGCAGAAATAAGCAACAGATTTAGTAGAATAGTCTTGTTAATCTGTTCTAAACACCAGCCAGAATCACGTGTTCACTATGAACTAAAGCTCTCTGTTGCCATAGAAAATCTTCAGGGGTTCACCACTGTAAGAGTGTTGCGGAGTCACACTGAACTTAAGGAGAAACATTCAGCAGAAATGTTATAACTGCACACCCTCAATGACCCTGCCAAAGTCAACTTACCCAAGTGTTATCTTAAACCATCTCCTGTTTCAAATGTACTAACAAAACTACAAAAAGATTTTGTTCTTCTTACCTGATGGGAATCATGGTAAAGGGAGCTACAGAGCACTTCCTTTCATTCATTTCTAAGCAGTTAGGTCTATGGTTAGCAATATCTATTTTTAATGAATGTGAGATGGTAATGCATGATTAATGGATGAATCAAGTAAGCAAAGCATGATCTAGTGATGCAGAATATAACATTTAATCAGCAAGTAATGCATGTACAAAGAAACATGACAAGATGTAATCTTGGTGAAGAACAATTAAGGCATCATTTTAAAGACATTATTCTAAAACATATAAATTATTTGGTGAGAATTTTTAACACTCTATAAGGCAGTGGAGTGAAAGATTTCCCCTAGTTGGTACTGAGCTTGTTTTCCTTCTGGATCCATCTTCACCTGTCCATGGTAGCTGAGTCTGTAAAACTCTTTAGTGATCATCGATAGGGTCTTTCGCTTGGTTTCAGGTAGAACCATCTGAATATATGAAGCAGTCAGGAGGCAGACAGCCCCAAATGGCACAAAGCAATACTGTCCTAAACCGCTCTGCAAAAAACACATACAGAGGACATTCAGAAGAGAAAGAAATCCTGTTCTTAATGGGTATTTTGTCAAATTTCCAGTTAAAATATCTAAAAATCATTTAAACAAAAAAAATTACTTAGCATTTATCTTAACGTTAGATATTAAGACTTTTTTCAAGTTCTCACCACAAGGAAAGGGAAGATCATCCCAATAATGAAGAGGTTCAGCCACATTAGAGAGCCAGCGGCCATGTAGGTGGCAGGATGGGTTGTCTGGTTAAAAATCTCTGTTGGGAGGATTCCAGTCACTCCAGTTACCGTATGAAGAAAAGGAACACAGTGTTGATAAATGTCAAACCGCAGTATGGAATATAACATTAGGGTGTTGTAATTTACCTGGTCCCATGCCAAAGCTGAGAATGTAGGTGAAGATGCAGGTCATGCTCAGGTAAGGCATCCAGGTAACCATATTCTATTGGGTGAAAGGTAAAACCATAAGTAAAAGTCATAGTTAACCAAAGATGATGTCCATTCAGCTGAACACTCTAGATGACAATGAAGTTAAAGTTGGACATTATGTGTCCACTTTGAGGTTAGACATTAGCTTGTACATAACCTTCCACGTGACTATGTGTGTGTTGGTAAAGGGAAAAAGGGGTAATACGACACTGAATAATACACACCTCAAGTGAAAGAGCCACAGTGAAGACTACAGCCC